ATGGACTGAGAGAAGAGGCGGCGCGGAGGTGTTCAGTGGGAGAGATATTTAGTCTCCGGGCGGAGTTTATCAAATCATTTACGGACGAAACATTATTGTCTGTTGTACAACGCGCGCATTAGTTGAATGATCGATTGAAAGGTGGCGGGGTACAATGGGATTCTTTCCAACGAACGTACTTTGTGATGCCGATGTCGATGCAGAAGCATTGAAATTGAGTGATGGATGAACTGTACTCGCAGGTTTTGAATAATGTGGTGTGAACCTCTTTTTCGGCATGAAGAATAATTTTGGTTGCTTTATTTGCTGTTTAGAATATGAAGAAGGTTAATCATTGGGGATGGGAGAGCAATGATGTAGTTATGTTGATGATGGCTCCAGCACGGTCCAGCATGAAGCCATGGAGTTACAGATGGGGCTACAGGGTCGAGAGGGACAAGATAGCGGAGAACACCATCTAGATAGGCGGTTCGAGACCCTAGAACCCTGTCTCAGCCTGTAAACTTGACACTTACAGCACAGGAATTACGAGGCGGGATTGATGAAAGAGTCACTGAGAATGGGTTTTATGTACGAAAGAGTACGAAAGAGTACGAAGTAGTCAATAATGGAGTTCTCATTGGGGTTTGTATGTCTGGATTGGTGATGTGACTCGGAATCCTCATTATCAATCATGGTAATCACTCCACATTACTAATGCTATAATATCTATGTGTCTTGGAGCTGTTGACTCATTTTGACCTAAAAATGATACATGACAGTAAGATTGAAAGAAATCGGAATGGAGTCATACAGTGCATTACAATCGAACAAAGGGATGCCCGCCCATATGTGAATGTGAATAGGTCTTAAGAGTCAAATAACACCGTGAGATTTCTGTTCCGTAGATTGGGTTGGGTCTTTGATGCTTGACTGCATTACAGAATACTCCAGGAGAGAGGAGCAATTCCTGAGGTGTTCGAGTTGCTTTTAGTGCTCATTGAGGTGCAGGTTTATCCACCCTTGAGTCTCATCACATGATCAAGCTAGCCTTTTCATCGTCAGATTTATTAGAACCACCCGAGAAAAGATAATGCCATCTTTGATGTGACCATTTCTCTTCGCACGTTAAAGAGAATAATACAGTATAGAATTCATCGTATGTCGGATGCACTAATAAAAGCTGTCTTATCTATTTCAAATCTCATATACGACTTGCTAGTTTCTATCCGATCTCAGCGTCGAATAATTTCTCTTTGCTTGTGATAACTGGTGAGCTCTATTAGCGAAACAACAGACAGGAGTTGGCTACCTAGTACCTTTGGGGGGACTTCAATCATTCAGATCTCTTTCTAGTCTCATATTGAATGTAACCAAGTCCAATCAGTACCATGAATAAGGTTCAATGTCTCGTTTGGTTTTCTCGGATTTCATTGTTTGATTTGGAATCAATTTATGATTCAATTGAATAAATTAGATTGAGAATGATCATTTTCCGTCTGTTTTCTCGCTTATACAGAAGTTATCATGAATTACGATATGAGGTTGGAATTTAACACAGACCAAGCGCTAACCGCTACCTCTTCATTCCCACTTATATCACAACGCACAAATTTACAGGTCTTACCTTCTCATACCATAAGATGCTCAATTCTCTCTTGATTTAGTCAAGCGCTTATCGATCTAAGAAGCATGTACTACTAGCAATCTCAACTTGAAGACGAATCTGCTTGTGCTCACGACACTTTCGAACTAAAATTTGAAATCCCGGGTCTCAAGGCTGCGAGAAGTCAGATTCTTCCAAATCTCAAGTGAGTTGGCCAATATTATCTACAACGGCGGTGCTCTGCCTTGATTTCTTCGATGGTGTAAACACGAGTCCCTTGTCTAGCAAATTCTATTCATGCATTCCCTTTGGTTCTGCAGAGATGGTTTGTTGGAAAGCTTCGTAAAGGACACTCATGCATGGACAATGGACCAAGAGAGTCTGAAGGAGCCGTTTAATTCATAGCTGCATGAAACGTTTTATGTGGCTTCGGAAGTGTTCCGAGCTCGGGTACCAGAAACGAGCAAGTTCTGCGCCGCTGACTACAAACGGTGCATACACGTGAGGGCAATCAGCTGATTGCCAGATTCACGAGATCTTTGCCTCGTAATTGTTGAGTAATTTAGTCCTGGCTCTGGTAATGATTTGTTTGGGAAACAAGATGCATGCTCGTAAGATCTTTTTGGTAGACTCTCGCGACGTGGAGCTCGCACTTGTTACACCGGTTTCATTGAGATAGCCCACTGTAATCTATAAAGACCAACGACTCGCACACATTTTCTTTTTTCCAGAGACAATAATAAATTCTATCAGAATAGAATCTCTTCACATCTCTTATACACCACCTAACTTAATATCCAATATGCTTTTCAGCAAGCCAAAGATCACAACCCTTGGACTCTCTCTCCTCCCAGCCAGCCTGGCTCAACTTTCGGATCTTTCTGTCTTTTCTCCAGGTGGACCGGGAACGATTCTGGTTACCTTGAATGGTCATAGCGCTTCCACCGGTTGCCTTAATGACCAAGGTCTTTGGACTGTGAAAGGCGCCTGTGCTAGCTTTGAAGGCAATGGTCAAGGTGGACTCGGATCGGATGTTGGATATGTCATCCTCGATTCTAGCTCCAGCATAGTCATAACTACTGGTACTTGGAGTACTGCATGGGTCGGAACACATATTAATCAAGGCGTAAGTAACATATGTCTACAATCATAGCATTGAATTATGATACTAACAGATTCTCACTTTGTAGAGAGATGCTGCTTGGCTCCAAGCACAAATCGGAACAACCGGAGCCGCGCCGTGGGGAGGTCCTTTATGGTACGCTAATGCACAACCCGACGATACATCCAATGTCGCGCTCAACGGACATTCCATCACCGACTCTGTCCAGGTTACATTGACCTTCAATTCTACTTTCGTTTCCTCTTAGGGCTCGAAGAGGATGGTTGTTATGCGGTGCATGGGCAGTGAAACGAAGAGGGTGTAGAAAATATTAGGGTGTACTTGGAGACTCTCAAACATGGATGTATTCTCATTCACAGGATAAATCCTTGTGTCAAGTAGCTTTATGAAGAGGACCCAGATTTTCTTCCTTGTTTCTCTTATTTATAAGATACAGATGATGTGCATTTGAATCAATGGACTGCATCTTTGCTTCTGAAAGTACAGTAGGCAGAGAAGGTTGGGTTATGTTTTTGAGGCTTAGTAATCTTCACGATTCACACTCACAATCCCTCAAATGCCGGGTATTTCCCGACTTCCTAGGTTGGTCTGATTATCTACCTACCTTCAGGTGTTCAAAATGAATCGATCATACTTTGTGGAAAGAAATCTCTCAATGAGTATATCAAAAGTAGCAAATTTATAAAACGGGCAAGGTAATCAATGATCTGGTAGTACTCTCAAAGAAGATGTATCTTCCATTGAAGTTTTCATGCAGTTTGAAGGTCGTTGAATATCCTGACAATCGTCATCACTATCGCACATGTAAAAGTGCCAAACACAATGCGGGCCAACGAATGAGATTGAGGTCCTCATTATTTGAATGAAGTCCAACATGTAGAACTCATTCGATATATGAAACTGTTCGTATGGTTCAACCTCATGTCAAGTTTGTGATATGTGACGCTCGAATATTTGATATTTATGAGGGAATCTCTTGGCTAGATATACACATGCTAAATCTAGACTATTGATGGAATTGAGGCGTGTATGCCGATGTGTTGATGTGACTAGACACGTAACGTTAGTCTACCAGTCACGTTATCTTGATTTTCATTTATTTTTATTTTATTTTCAACCTCGCATCAAATTGTCGAATCAAGTAGTCGGACCAGTAATCGTTCATATTCCTCGATCAACATCCTAAATATCTCGACGGCTGGGTGAGTTAACAAATTTTCGGCATGTTAATGGTATGCCGTTGTATTCATCTCCCGACAATGCTGACTTCACACAAGAAATACCTACCCAGTGGGATGTTTGAATTACAATCCACTTAGCATAGTCACGTTACTGTTGAAATCCATGGGCATTGTGATAGTCCTGTCAAGAATGAAGAATATGTCGAATGTTCCTTTCGCTGAGGTAGTCTTAACCAGAGCATTCCCAATCGGTAAGGAGTCTTGATAGACTGGTGTCTTTCATGACCGTTATGTTTACGCCGATCATGAGCTGATGGCCATCAATCGAGAACGACAGTGGAAACAGCCATGGTAATGACGCCGACAATGGCAATGGCACCTGCTGTTTCTACTCTCGTTTCCATCCCTTCGCACCAAATCGCATCAAATCACCTGATCAGGATAGAATTGGAACACAACCTAACAAAGTTGATGATATCTCGAGGAAGGTAGGTAGGTATGTGCTTACCCAGTAACTTCCTCGTCCCAGATTCAATGCGAAACGAGACTTCCTTTTCCTGCGGTTGTCATTTTCATTTCAAGTCAATTGGTAATTGTTGAGGGGTTGAGGATGCGAGAGTCATCGTTTTCCTACCTGTCTAGGTAACCACCTCCTAGCATATCATGGTCAAATGACAATTGCGAGAAGATGTGACTTCCTAGATAAGTAATAACACATGATTATTGTCAATTAGTTCATGCGATCGAACCATTCTCATTTCTCATCGGCCCTAATAGCGTAAGGATCGGCGATCGAGCTAACATTTTCATCATGTTCTCAATGTTTGTTCCTTCCGTTTTCAATTGTGGAAAGTACCCATCAAGGTCAAGCTAGTGAGTCAGTATGGGTATATAACCCCTCTCATTCCCACGCCCTTCTTTGAAAAAATCGGCCACAACGACAACAACAGCAGCAGCAGCAGCAGCAGCACCAACAACAACAACAACAACCACAACAACAACAACAAAACCCCGCCGCCGCCGCCGCCGTTACCTCTCCTCCCACCTCCTCTCCTCTCCTCTGCCCCCCTCCCCCCTTCCGCCCTTCCCCCCTTTTCTTCTCTTCGGCCAAATGGCCAAGAACAAGCGTCGCGCCTCCGGGCAACCCTCTCGTTCCCCTTCGGGGGCTTATTCTGGTGGTCCTGTTTCTTCCACCATTTCTTTGCAAGTCCCAGGGGGTGGTGTCCCCTGGGCATTCATCGCTTTTCTTTTGGCTTCGGCCTCTTTGTTTGCCTTCGGGCTCTATCTGGTCGTTTTGTCGGGCCGGATGGAGGTGGTGTTTAACACCTACCTTTTAGACAACTGGAAGGAGCTGGATTGTGGGGTCGGACCGGGAACTGTCGGGGCTCGGAAGCCCTCGGGTCTCCTCCGAAAGGAGGTGATCTGGGTGTAAGTTCTCCTTTTCTTAAATTTTTGTATTTCTCACTTTGATTCTTGATCGTCTTTCATCCTTTACCCACCTTTCATTTGGTTTGCTTCTTTTTTCTTATCTGCACACTCCTGTCACTACACCACTATTGTTGCCCGAGTTTTCCCCTATGCTGTCGCTTTGATCAATTCTCAACATCATCACTCTCCCGCTGCTGTTGTATGTAATCATCTCCACACCTTACTGCTATTGTTTGCTATTCTATCTATCACATCCGGTGCTATCACTATCGTTCCATTCCATCACTCACTCTCATGTTGCCAACGTCTTCTTGTTGCTCTCATTCCTTGTTGTTATTTCATCTATTCATTCCACCACATTGTCTCTATTCATGCTACGTCAGACTATCAGGCTGTCGTCAACAACCAGTTTTTGTTGATCAATCAAGTGCTGTCATACATTTACAAGGTCTCATACATTCAAGGGCCGTCGAACTTTCAAAGTCTCTTATAATCTTAAAGTACTTAAGACATTTACATGTTCACAATCATTCAAACTCTTTCAACAATTCAAAGGCTCCTATAATCTCAAAGTACTTGGGACATTTACACATTCACAATCATTCAACCCCTTTCAATAATTCAAAGCATTTGGGATATTCACACAATCACAATCATTCAGAGGTTATCAGACATTCACAACCCCAGATGTCCTCAAAGTGCTGGAGACAATGGATCTATCACTGTCGCCACTTCCTTCATCACATCTTCCTATTACTGTCATCCTACATATGTGCTAGACCCACTATGAGGCCACTTTGTCCTGTTTGCTCACACTTGAACGGAGCTAGTCTCTAGATGGACGAGTTTGTCCTGTTTGCTCAGACTTGAATCGGGCTCGCACGGACCATGCCGTTTTTCTATATAAACCTCTTCCCCCTCCCCTCAACTTTTCTTCCCTTTCTATCATGGACGCTAACCTACCTCGACTAGGGCACCGGCCTTTGGCAGTTCCTGGCTCCTTACCTACTTCGTTCTCGCCGCTTCGTACCTTCTCCGACGCACCAGCTTAAGTCAATGGATCTCCGGCGGTTTCGGTCTTGTTTCAATCTCGGTCGCAGTCACGCTCTCTTTCTACAAGCAAATTCCGGCCTGCCTAGTCATCTTCATCTTTGCCGTTGTTTGTATCTTCTGGCAGATTTCCTGGTTTGATTCTAGGCATTTTTCGAGAGCCGTAGCGTTCACCATAAGCAAAACTCGACTGTGGACCTTGGTTGCGCTGAGTTTCTTTGCTAGCTCGGTCACGATTTTATCATACGCCGGTTTTCTTACGATTTTGTACAGTTTGAGACATGTTTGGGAATTGATGATTCCTTCATGCACCAAAGATCGGGATTTGTTTTCGTCAAGGTTCATGGTAGTCGTTTTTGTTGTATCGATCGTGACATACTGGATTACGCATGTAGTATCTTCTTTTGCGCAGACACTCGGAGCCTTGGCCACGAAAAATCAGCTACTTCACAATGTCCGGCGAGAATCGGGACAATCACCGATGCGCAGAGCACGAGCCCGGACAGGGTTCAAATCGATTTACAATAGCGTTTGCTGTGGTGCTGGACTCGTTTCTTCCTTGGCTTTCCTGAAAGATTTTGCATTGAGTCTGGGCCAAAATTTAACACTTTTACCTGAAAGCTCTTCCCGTTTTTCAACTACCGCTTGCTTGGTGGGGCTTTTGACGTATCTCGGACCATTTTACACCGCTGTTGATATGAAAATTTCTGATTGGACCTTTTCGATGATTGCCCTTGATTCCACTTCATATTGGCAGGCTAACAAATCCGGTGTTGCCTTGATGTCAGCAACTGGTTTGGACATTCTCAAAGACTCTGGATTGTTCCAAATGATTGCGTACTTCCCCGTTGCGATTGGTGTGATCAGCGCTATTTCGACGTTCCTATTCGTCACCCTCATGCCTCACCATCTCGTGAAAATCGACGACCTTCTAGAACCCGAAATTCTGTTGGCTTTCGCTTGCTTTGCAGGATCACAAATTGCGAGAGCTGCATTTGCTCCATTCAAGGGAGCTATGTGTACCATTTTCGTTATGATGGCAAGAGATCCAGCTGTTTTCCAGGAACATCAAGGACAGATTTGGACTCGCTTGGAGGAGCTTCACCCGGGTATTGCCGAGACGTTGTTGAAATGAAAGAATGGAGATATGGTTGTCGAGGTTCGAATGGGACTTTGGTATACTGGATGGGGGTAGTTATTATGGCTGTTGGTTGGTCTGGCGATGGGGATGGAGATTTGATTATCGAGGCTTGAGTGGAACTTTGATATGCTGGATGGGAGTGATTACTTATATTTGTTGATTGGTCTGGCGATGGAGACTTGATTGTCGAGGTTCAAGGGGGACAATGATATGCTGGATGAAAGTGAATACTTATAACTGGTTGGTTTGGCGATGGAGATTTGATTGTTGAAGCTTAGGTGAAACTTTGATATGCTGGACGGGAGTGGTTATCAATGGCTGCTGAGTCAGAGAGATATTATATTGGTGGTTAGTCGCTTGGGATTGAAATGAACATTAGCTTGACGAGAACGATGGAATGGGATTCAGACTGGAATTAATACTGGGGTTTGAAGATGAGCTATTGCCATGAATGAGAATACACTTTTTTGCTCTCGATACTTGGGTTTCCTGCAAGTGATTATGAATAATGTCTCAAATACTGCCTTGTGTAAATCTTCAGGTTTGTGCCGGCCTAAGACTGAGTGGCCTCATCGGTGAAATGAAACTGTAAGTCAGACGAACTGAAGATAAGAACTTTGTATTGACGATCGATAGAATGATTAAATTCCTAGATGAATCATGCTTTTGATCTGCCATTCATAGGTCATCAATTTCGAGAAGAATATCTCAATCAATAATAGATATTGAGTTCAACTATATGACCGTAAATGAATAACCTGGAGTCGTTAGGTAGGCCATTAGAGTACATTAAGCGAGGGGGTTAGCCTCAACATATAAGAATTACTTCTTTCTGTACATAGCTAGCTCTTCAAAGAGAAAATAATATTAATAATTAAAATTTATAATATAGATACTCGATTGACTATACTCGTTTTATATAAATAGTAATCAATAATATCATAAATTTTCAGTCTATAAAAATTTCTTTACTTTCTTCTTTTTTTAGTTTAATAGTAGAATATTGAGATTCTGATTTAAATTTCTATTTTTACTTTTGTTTGGCTACTTGTATGGCATTTTACCCATTAGCTTTTACACACAATTAGATTCTAATTTAGATTCTACCTAGTTAGTTTGAAGAATCGAAAAAACGTTCAAGTCAGATACGCCCCCTTTGACTACCCCCACTTAAAAATGCACCCGCCAAATGCACCTCAATTGATCTTTGCAAACTTCAATCAATTGTCCCCACCACCAATGTAGATCTCACCCTTAAAGCAATCATACATTCTGAGAGCCCTCAATTACTTGAATCTACTAATCAGTTTCCTAATCGTTTGATCAGTTTATTTAAGGTCGTGTACTAGATTGAGGTTATTCAGAAAGTGATCGGCCGGATCAACCCTGCTCCTAGCGTCAGTACATTACTTAAGGTTATGACCAATTAGCAGGCTGCATCTGCAAATATGAAAATGGCCGGCCTGTATCGGTTTTGAGTAACTTTATTCTATTTGATTTGATATGATTAAAACTGATGCAATCATACATCCATTGCACAACCAATCTAGCAATTGCATCCGCGGTAGCTCAGATTCTATATTGGAGGGTTGTTGCAACTGCCATATATGACCACAATTCTCGATTGTATTCACTGATCGCAACCGCCCCACAATAGCTTGAAGCTTCAAAATTATTTACACTTTGTAGGTATATATACCTTTCACTTCTCAACTTTGGCAGTTTTATTTCTTCCCAACAACTACACAAACTTCACACAAAGCTTTTGTTAGTTTCGTGTATTGATAGCCAAACCATCTCAAACCAGCCATGCTGCCTTCAACGAAAGCAGTATCTCTGCTCAGTCTCCCTTCATCTTTGCGACCACTCCTCCTGTCACGGCTTTACGCAACACACACTGGTTTAGGTACCACAAGTTCCTCATCGCAACCAAAAAGAAAGGCCGTTACCACTTTCAATGATGATGGCAGAGTTCCTTGGCGCGACTTATCGCGGCGGGAAAAGGTTGCCAGAACAACGCAACAAACGTTTAATCTTGGTACTGTCCTCGTCGGCACAGTATTGACGGTATGTTAATCGCAATGTTTTCACACACTTCACCACTGAAACTCAATACAGGGAGGCGTCATCTATCTTCTCTACACAGAAGTATTTGCGCCCGAGAGTAAAACCAACCAATTCAACAGGGCCGCCGATCAAGTTAAGAAGGACCCGCGTTGCATAGAAATACTGGGCGATGGAAAGAAGATAAGAGCATATGGCGAGCCAACAGCGAGCAAATGGGCAAGAGCTGGGCCTATTGCGTATGTATCCTATGCTACATCTGCGCTCGAATTGTACTAACTTTCATTAAGATCCAATATTTCGAAGGATCGCAGAGGGGTGGAGCATCTGGTTATGCATTTCAACGTCGAGGGTCCGCTCAATCAAGGTGTGGTGAACCTACATATGGTCAAGCGACCGTCTGAGAGCGAATTCGCATACAAGTACTTATTCTTGGACGTGAAAGGGCATCAAAGAATCTACCTTGAGAACGCAGATTCAACAAATAGTGGGCCGGGAAAAAGCAAATTCTTGGGGGTCACTTGGCGATGATATGAATGTCCGGTTCAAACTGGAACATTGAAAACATTGTTGGGCCGGGATGAGGTGGTGTTTAACGTTTACCTTTTAGACAACTGGAAAAAGCTGGATGGATTATGAGAGGTCACTTGGCGGTGATTTGAATGTCCAGTTCAAATTGGGACATTCAAAACATTCCTGGGCTGGAATAAGGTGCACTATTCAATACCAATTCTGAACACCTTCAAATTTATATATTGGTCATCATCTAGACTTTCAAGCTTGTTAAAGGCAAGAGTGACCCTCGACACTAATACCCTGTCATTACCTAATCTATGCCTGTAATCTGACCTCACACCGCTTTACCAATTTAAGCTTAGTGGATTTTAACCTTCATTGATGTGTGAACGCCATGGCAATCTGGCCATCCCCTCGACTACAACAATAATTTGAATCCGATCACAAAAAGGGGTCTTTTATTTCTACACAACTCCAACGACTTCCCGTCAGAGATAACAACATCTACACATATTAGAAGGCTATCAAACATGGCGGCTCTTGCTTCGAAGGCGCAATCCCAAAAGCTCTTCGAGAAGTTAAAGACAAAGCCAGCAAATAGGGTACGCAAGACAAACCTCCTCTGGACGAATGCAATCATGATGCATGTGCTGATATGCTTTCGCGCAATAGATTTGTTTTGATTGCGGGGCAAAGAATCCAACATGGACGTCTGTGCCTTTTGGAATCTACCTCTGCCTTGATTGTTCATCGAATCATCGCAACTTGGGTGTTCACATATCCTTTGTGCGATCGACAAACCTTGATCGTACGTATAAGGCACGACCTTGGAAAGGACCCGAGGGGCTAACATTGTGACCAGAATGGCAATGGGATCAACTCCGGGTTATGAAAGTTGGAGGTAACGAATCTGCCACGAAATACTTTCAATCAAATGGAGGTACTGCAGCACTCAATAGCAAGGACCCCAAAACTAAATACCAGTCGAACGCGGCCACGAAATATAAGGAAGAATTGAAGAGACGTGCTGCCAAGGATGCTGCAGAGTATGCCATTTTCTGCGGATGTTACTTGTTAATGCTGATTGACGTACAGATACCCCAACGAAGTCGTTATTACCGATGCGGCGACTGATGCCGCTGACGGAACTTCTACACCTGCCGGCGAACCTGATGATGACTTCTTTTCTTCCTGGGATAAGCCTTCGATCAAGCGACCAACACCCCCAATTTCTCGAACTGCCACACCACCCGTTGTTGGACGAACACCTTCCCCATTCCTCAATGCCGGTGCCAATGCCGCTGGTAATGGAATCGCTAGAGCAACATCACCACTAGGAAAAACAGAAGGAACAGCTGCAGCGCCCACGGCTAGCCGCATTACATCGTCTGCTGCGTTGCGGAAAAGCGCTACAACAGGGACCGGACCAAGAAAAGCAAACGTCCTCGGCGCCAAGAAAACCAAGTTGGGCGCAAAGAAGGTTACAGGCGATGTAATTGATTTTGATGCCGCCGAGCGTAAGGCAAAGGAAGAAGCCGAGAGAATTGAGAAATTAGGCTATGACCCTGAGGCCGAAGAAGCTGCGACAAAGAAGTCAACCGCCAAGGCAGCTGATGTTTCGAGCATTGCCGCACCAACACCTGTGAGCCCAGGAAGGGCGGGATATGGTTCTGGTCACAGCCGAGAACGGTCAAATGGTGAGGTTGAAAGACTCGGAATGGGAATGGGAAGACTTGGATTTGGACAGATTGGAGGCCCAAAACCTGCAGCTACTGCACAGAAGAAGATGGGCGGTTTTGGCTCAGTTGGGCCTATCAAGGCCACAAAAGAAGGTAAGAGATTACATTTAAAAATCACCACCTCCCAAATCTCAAAGCTAACATTTCTACAGATGATGATGAGAAATACGCTCGTCAAAAGTTCGGCAGCCAAAAAGGCATCTCGTCCGATGAGTTTTTCGGCAAGGGGTCATTTGATCCGAGCGCGCAATCAGAAGCCAAAACTCGCCTACAAGGTTTCGAAGGAGCCACATCTATCTCATCCAACGCTTATTTCGGAAGACCTGAAGAAGAAGAGGGCGGAGAAGATTACGGTGATCTCGAGACCGCTGCAAAGGACTTTGTGAGAAAATTTGGTGTCACAGCCGGGGATGATTTGGATAACTTAACACAAGTCCTTGGGGAGGGTGCAAGCAAACTGCAAGGTGCCATCAGAAGCTATTTGAACGGCTAAATAAAGGCGATGGGTGGTAGACAGGAGTTTGGCGTTTGTATGAGCAGTATGTGAAACTGTGATGGCAAGATTGAGAAGTGAGAACTGTGAAAAATAAACTCGAAGATCGCAGAGGGCGTAAAAGGCTTATTCTCCGTAGCAATCGGTGAGGATAATTCATTTCTTCTCTTATGTACTACTCTGGTTCTACAATTTAGATGACATTACTTCTATGTAACTATTGTAGATTTCCGATACTAATTGGACTTGGATGAAGGTGTAATGATCAACTATGTTTTCAATGATATCTCATGTTTCTTCTTGGTGGATTCTTTTAATATTATTTTACGAATCTGGTTTATGTTACCCGACAAACAAACTGAATTCAGTATTGCAGACTATGAAAATCACTCAATTGGATCCACTAATGGGACCCGCGAAATTTCCAACAAAGGAAACACAAACTCGCTAGATACCAGCCTCAGCGCTTAAGTTCTCCTTGGCCAAGCAACAGAGCACAACCGGGGGACTTGCTATCCGAAAAGCACGCCGAAAGTTCGGATTCACAAGTCTTTGAAGATTACAGGAAGCGAAACAGTATTCTAGATGGAGTCGAAGGAAGGCATGGTCACTAACTGTCTAGACGGTATCAAAGTCTAAATCATTGGTATGAGGTGAAGGGAGATTACCGCTCATCTTATCGTGCAGCATCTGTTGTGTCGGGTGGGTGCTGCCACTCTTACTTACCCGTCTCTATTATTGTGGAGAGAGAGAGGCTGGAAGACGCACACAATTACAGGTTATTGTTGGCGGCAAATCGTAGCATCTGTTGTGAAAATTGGTTGGAAATTGAACGTATATCAATGAGTTTGGAAATTCATCATACTCACTGCCGCTCAAATTTCTGACTTTGAAGTTTTCAAACGTACTTGTTGTCTAGATAGTATTAAGATATGATTATAGCTGTCGATGTAGTAATACTACCGAGGAAAATGCCAGATTTTCCCATGGCACAGTCGCTAGACTTTTTCACCATGGATTTTTGTTTCATCTCCAATGTCCAATGTTTTCTGCCTATTTACTACCTCTGCTAATACTTGGCACAGTCGTCTTAGTACTACTGGTGGTTCGTCTTCTACCCGCTGCCGAAGCTGTCTCTGGTATCTTTCCCAAAAGTTGTCTTCTGATTTTATCACAGCTCAGATCTGCCTCAATCGTACCGGTTCTGGTTCTTCTAGAAAGAGTGTTGTTAGCTTTCTAGTCCTCCAGATCCTTTAGCTGTGACACTAGAGGTAGCAACTCCTGGGGGGGGTTCTATAAGCTTTGTCCTGGTACATACCAGGTGTTACCGCTGATGACTTGGGGGATGGTAGGCGAATATGTGGCGATGGAGATACCGATTGTTGAATAGATGATGGTGGTTTCGATTCGTTCGATGATAGGGGTGGGGTAAGCGATGAAAGTTGCATCGTCGGTGATGCTGGTGTGTGGGGGTATCAGTGCCGAGGGCGGAATGTGAGTTGGTGATCTGGGGGGGTTCAATGGCGGGGAGTGAAGTGGGAGGAAGGAGAGTGATAGAGGTAGGAGATGGTTGGTCTGAAACTGTATGAATGGCAGAGACTCTGAGTAGGGTGCTAGATGAGGAGCTGATGGCTGTGTTTTCGGCGACGGTCTTTGTCAGAATCTGTGGGAAGAGCATGGTTGATGGACACCAGATGGCTTCTTTTGCACAGCTGTAGATGGTGTAAGTACTTTTAGAATTAACAGTGACTTTTGGAAGATCGTTTAAGATAGATGCAGAATCATCATGCTCCTCGCTCTGGGTTGGTACGATGAAGGTATTGTCGGTGGTGGCTATCGGTAATGGCGTCTCACTTTTGGTAGTATAATCAGAGGAACTGGGTATTTTGATGACACCGGCTGGAAATGAATCGGTCTCACTGCCATATGTTTGAACGAGGCGAGTATGCGAGATGAAGACTCTTGTTGAATTTGAGAATGGTACCGTTGCAGGCACTGATATTATTCCACTGGGTGTATTTGTCGCTGCGGAAGAAGAACTCGATGTTGTAGCATTGCTTGAGTATGTCCGGATAGTTGTGGAAGGCATCTCTTGTGTACTCTTCCTCGACGTTGTCTCGAGCTCCGGTGTTAAAGTAATATGATTGCTTATTGTCGAAGACGCAAGGGTTCTCTGAGCTGTTGAAGTAGTACTGACGAAGCACGTCGAAGGTAACGGCGCAATGTACAGAGTTGACACCACAGTAGGCCCAGCTGCCCATGTTGCAATGTCGATTGCCTTGGCTACATCAGCATAGACAGCAACGTCGATAATGAAATTCTCTGTAAAATTAAGGGTATATGGTTGGTCTATCTGGTAAGTAATGCAAGCCTTGTGTAGAGGAGCGTCAATGTATGTGCCTGCCTCGAATTTGAAGCCGAAATTGAAAACTTCCACAGGAGTACCAGCTTTCAATTTGAATCTGAGAGCTACATTGAAGCATCCAGCTCCGGACTTGAATTTTGCCGGTGTGGCTTTCGCTTTGATTCCTTTCCTGTGTTCTGTTAGTTTCGAAGGAATGGAGTTTTGATAGAAATGGAATTTGCATACAGGTTCTCCTCTACAAGCTCTCCACTAAGTGAATTTAGGATGATAAAAGTATCATCTGGAATTTCTACTTCAAAACCAGCAATAACATTCACTGGCCCAGTGACTTTGAATGCTAATTCAATCTCAAATATCAATCCAATCGAGTCTTTATCATTAAGCTAAACCACATTCATATGTCAACAAGAAAGTATTGAGTATGAATATGCGGTCGTACTTACCTGGATACTTAGGAGACTTTCTGATGTGAATATAGGAACGATATAAGTTCCTGCTATAGCGAACTTAATATATATCTCGAAATGCCCAGTTACCCCTTGAAATCCGAGTCTTAGGTTCAGATCGAGTGCGTCGACAATGATTTCTGTGGGGTTTGTCAAAAAATGTAGAAAGTCTCCTAAGATAGAATCGTCCGTTTCCACTTCGGTAGTTGTAACGATTGCATTACCGGTGGTGAAAGATTCCACGCAAGTCGCCTTGCTGAATCCTGTTACTTTCCTCCCTCGCCAGGTGTAGCTTTTACTGCATTGAGAAACTTGATATTAGTAGGAGCTTGTACATTGAGACTTCATGACAGTAACTTACACCTGGAACATAACAGAATTGGGCGGTAGATGAATGGCTAGGGGAAAATATGCGAGATCTAATGCCGAATGCCTTTCTTCTAGAGAAGAGACAATTTCTACGTTTGCGCCTTGTACTTCAGTCTTTGAGTAGTGATCTTCTCCGGCATATTTCTTGTATGGTATAAGACCAGTAGGAACAGGCGAAGAGATGACAGGAAGAGCCAAGCTGAGCACTAAACTCGAGAGAATCGCCCACTTCATGATGGCAGATGTGAGGCTCGAATCTATTTCAAGTGACGAAGGATGCTTGATGTTGTTCAATGTCAGATTTTGGCGTAAAAAACGAATTTAACTTTATAGGACCATGTGCAATGATAAAATATATGCAAAGTCGCAGCAGGACAAGGAAGTATTATAAGGGTGGTTAATCGATAGTGAACCATTCCTTTCCATGCCATGTACGAGTAGCTCTAGTATTTAAGCGAGCATAAAGGTACCCCGCATGGTAATTTCCTCCTTCTGAAATATTGAAATTGCAAGTAATTCACATAGTGCTCAATTTCAACATCCGTGAATTCACTCGTGTTGATATCTGCGGGGTTACTGTGGTTGATACTCGTGGACTATAGGCATCCCTCGAACGTGGGCTGGGTAGTGATTAATAAACGACTTGCCGTCGAAAAAACATGGCAAGTAGATTGTGGGTGTGAGTGTCGAGCTGTATTTTGGAAAATTGAGACCCCAAGTTAAGTTGCAGATGATAGCAGTATCCTTGGATTTCACAGAAAACGATGTTGCACCGAGCTACATCTAAAGAGCTAATTCATCTTCGCTGTCTCCCTGCGGCGGTGCTAATATATCTTCGCTCCCCTGCCATTGAGGAGGCATCGGTGGCAATTCTTCATCTTCTTCCGCCCATCCATAATCCTCATCGTCTTCACTATCCGGAATCTCAAAATCGGCTCTTTTACGTTGTTGAGCAGGGAGAGCGACGGCAGGTGTGGGTCTAGGTAGTAAAGGAGATCCTCGATTAGGTGTGATGGAGGAGATACCCGCCTTTCCAATGACAAAAGCAGCAAATATCCCTCTTCCCTCCGATAGAGTCGTACCATCCACTTTAATGACTTGTGCAAACCGTACACTATCTACTTTATTTCCTTCATCATCGTCCCAACCCCAATCTCTGAATAAAGCCACTCGACACCCAAGGCCTTGCTCCCATGCAGTAGCTGAGATTGATGGTATCAAGGCTGCACCGAAGCCGGGTCGCATTTTGGTTACGCATTGAGTGAGGATTATTATGGCGATATTACGGGTGGTAGCAAGTTTTTGGAGGGCGTTAATGAGGTATTGAAGAAGGGGGAATTTGCGCGAGGACGGGTTGGGAACTGTCAACGTTAGTTTAGGGATAAAAGGCAACATGAGAAGATGAGATAGATGCGGCTCGTAGACATAGAATGATGTGAAAATGTTCGGATTGTAACATACCTCCTAGCTTTTTAGGAGTAGATAGAGAGTCAGCATTGCGGGGAAATGCACTGTCGATTAGAGTAGAAAATGAATCAATGATGACCAGACTGGTATTTTCAGGGGGGAATTTTTGTGTAGTGTGAGTAAGCAAGGCAAGAAGATGAGATAATGTGGGCGTTGTGAAATGATTGAAGTTGCTTAGAAGGGTGTCGTCATTGAGAGGTTCTGAAGATGGAAGGTTTTGTAAAATTTGAGCGAATCTAGGACCTGATATTGGATGTGATGCGTCTGGGAATGTTAGCAAAGTACATTCCCAAGATCTCTCATATCAAAAGTGGCATATATGGTAGCGATTATAGATAACCGGAATATTCCTGCAGTGGGAAACTAGCAAGGGAATTCGAAATGCAAGACGATAGACAAATAGCAAATGCTTACAACAGAAATATCTAATAGATGAAAGATGACTTACCTACCCAAACAACTTTTTCATTCTGATGTAAAACTGTTGCTGCCAAATGCATACTACACGTAATTAGCATACATGGTCATTTAATACGGACACTTGAGCGTGTTCCATTACCCCAGAGTAGTTTTGCCAACCCCGGGTGGACCATAAATTTCCGTCACCTTTCCTCTTGGAATACCTCCATGACTTTGATCCGCACTTGTGGATTCTTGCAAGGGATCTTTACTTTGGAGTGCTACATCCAAGTTCGCCAAACCGGTGGGAATGCAACGCGTTGGTGATGATTCTAAATCTTGCAAAGCTTGGGCGGCGGAAACTGTAGGCATGCGATCTTAGAATGTGTCAGCCTATCACTTGTGTTGTGGCGTGGCGTGAGGAATTGTGATGAAATGAGCATTTACGTGGGGAAGATGAAGAGAAATTTGATCTTCCAGGGCCATGTATGGATTGATAATCCATTGCTGTTTGCTGTTGCATGGGAGTAAAATCCTGTAGGATGAACGACGATGAGACAAGGTGGTTATGGTTATGGTGATAATAATGAAGGGGAAACGAAGTTATTCACGTCTTGATGTTGCATTGTCCTGTGGCTCAAAGATTCAATCGAATCTGGTGGAGCTACCTGGGGTGGTGAGTAATTGAGTTGTGAACTCGAAAACACGTGACAATCACATTCTAAAAATAAAGTCCAGATTTAATCAATTGATGAATTTCTCTGCATTGACGATCCACCACATATGATTACATCTGGGGATGGGCTTTATCTTAACTTCATACTACGTACGGGGTACTTCTCTAGATCCAAAAGCTTAATTAGAGAACAATTCTTGGACATTGATTGAATGATCTGCTGGATTGAATAGTCGCTCCCCTACAACATGCTTTGCTTGGTTGGATGGTTGGATGGTTGGATGGTTGGATGGTTGGATGGTTGGATGGTTGGATGGTTGGTTGGTTGGTTGGTTGGATGGATGGTTGGTTGGTTGGTTGGCGTCTCTCTAGCCATACCACAGTCCTTTCGAAATAACATGTAACCTCGATCACGTGCACATCTATCGGTATCCTTTGCCATGATCCAAATCGATACAAGAAGTGCAATCAATCTCTTTCTTTATAAATAAATGTGTTTGGATGGGATGGTCAAGGTAGATGGTAGGCAGGAGTGATCTACCACGGGGTATTCATCTAGGTCCTAGGTCGTATCATTTGACAATCCTACCTTCCTTCCCTCATCACCCATTCCTTCGGGAGGGTGGGTAAGCATCTGAGCAAGCATCAAATATTACACCGGAGGCTGTGCGAATGTGTATCTCGAGGTGAATAAGTAGTACTCACTGGCCTACTATCCAACCCATCCTTCCAATTTGTTCCGACTCTTCTTCATTTTCTTGTCCTTTCCCTTCCTCTTTCCTTTTTTGCTTTCGTTTCGTCTCGTCTCGTCTCGTCTCGTTTCGTTCCAGTCAATTCAGCTGATCTTCACTCATTCGGACTCCGACCATAAACTTCCAACCAATATCATCATCAAATCCAACATTCACTTCCAACACCATTCACCGATCCGTGTTCGCTTCGCATCAGATCATCTTAGTTTCGAAACATTTCCCACTTCTGATTGGTTCACCACTTACCCTCAGTATACACCAACAAGTACCCTAGGTAGCCCTTCGAAACAGCCGCCCCCATATTCTTCACAAGGCCCAATTGGGAAAGATCGGACGAACCCCTCGATGATACTTTCTTTATATTTTCCACTCAAATAATTCTGGGAATCTTTCAATCTTTCTTGTCAATTTCAACACGATCCTTTTTGAAATCATCTTCAACAACTACATTCACTTCCCCCGTATTTGGTCCTTCTTTTTGCGTTTTGATGATTCATTATTTGGCATCGCATCATATCTTGGAAACTACCAAGAGTTTCTTCCAAACTATTTATCTAGTACCCGTACTTAGCTACTTACTAACAAGTCGGAATACCTTGTTTTCTTGATCTTTCGACAGCTTGATCGTAACCTTCATTTCATTTTTTTTCCTCTCTCTCTTTACTTCATAATCAACAATATGTTTCCCAAAAGCTTTTCAAGAGGCCTCCTCCTCGCATTTTCCGTTTCTCAATCCGTATCGGGTCTCAAACTCGATACCTCGGATCCAAGTACGTTTCCTTTTCCATCTTTGACGCTACCATACTTACAGCCCCGACTGACAATCGTGTGTACAGCTTCAATCAAAAATGCAGCAGGTACCATTGCATATGGCCTCATGAAATATTATACCGGCAATGTCACCAATACACCAGATACCATTGCGGTACTGCCAGCGCCGTACTACTGGTGGGAAGCTGGTGCCATGTGGGGAACCATGCTCGATTACTATCACTATACTGGAGATTCTACCTACAATGATATCACCACACAAGCCTTGGCATCTCAAGCTGGCCCGCTCTTCGATTACATGATGCCGAACCACCAAAAGGATGAAGGAAATGATGACCAAGCTTTTTGGGGAATGTCCACCATGTCTGCGGCAGAAAAGAATTTCCCGGAGCCCTCCAACACCGGGGGATTTACTTGGGTAGAATTGACCGAGAATCTGTGGAATACCCAAGCTGCCCGCTGGGATACGTCGGCTTGTGGTGGTGGCTTAAAATGGCAGATTTTCTCATTCAACAATGGATATACATACAAGAACTCGGTTTCTAATGGAGCTTTCTTTCAACTTTCAGCACGACTTGCACGATATACTGGAAATCAAACATACGTCGATTGGGCAGAAAAGGTTTATGATTGGACTACCAAGATTGGATTTATTGATTCAAACTTCAACACTTTCGACGGTGCCGATGAATCCAAAGCTTGTACCGATCCGAATAAAATTACCTGGAGTTACAATAATGCCCTTTTCCTGTACGGAGCCTCTGTCATGTACAACTACACCACCAGTTCCACTTGGCAAACACGAACCGAGGGTTTATTAAAAGCCTCTTCCAATTTCTTCACATCCGATAGTGTCATGTACGAACAAGCGTGCGAAGAAGTAAGCACCTGCAACAATGATCAATTCTCCTTCAAGGCGTATCTTGCACGATTCATGTGGGCAACTACTCAAATGGCACCTTTTACAAAAGCCACTATCACGTCATATCTCACCAAATCAGCATCCGCAGCGGCTAGTATTTGCGCTGGTGACGCTAATGCTTGTGGTACAAAATGGTATACGGGATCGAATGATGGAATATCCGGCCCTGGACAACAAATGAGTGCTTTGGAAGTCATTCAAGGATTGCTTGTCTCTTCCGCCGCGCCACCAGTCGTCAAAGGCCAAGCCTTTGTTCAATCATCATCATCTTCTACTCCCTCTTCTTCTTCTTCTTCTTCTTCTTCTTCGCCAGCTTCTTTATCCACCGTCATTAGCACTAGCGAAAAATCCAGTGTTTCAAGTCACAGTAGTGTGAATGCGATCACCAGTGCTACCAGCGCCGCAACCACTGATTCATCCACAGACGTAATCGTGACCGATACCATCCTGGAAAGTACCACAGTTCCATGCACGACTAGTTCTTCTTCTACGGTATACTCTTCCCCCGAAGTTCCTTCTTTCACTGCAAAGCCCTCTACTTTTACTTCTTCCGAAGTAAAATCTTCTACTGCACTCCCTTCGTCTATTTTAAAATCATCCTCTGCTATCTCTTCTTCTAAATCAAAGACTTCGACTTTTGCTGTTACAACCCCCGCGCCTGTTCTCGATACCACAACTACAGTCAGTATTCTCCACAGTACCACTGTATCTTGCAACACATCAGTATATGCCAACTCTACTGCTTGGTTTGCATCATCCTCATTTTTGTCCAGTCGTCTTACAATTGCTTCATCGGTCCCTGTTACTGTTACATCTGCTCTGCCTGCGTCTTCTAAATCTTCAACCGCCTTACTGATTGATACTACTACACAGCGAGCGCCTACCATTTCGGGTACCGGTTCGAAAGGAACTACGAGCTTATCAATCACAGCTTCAGCCTCGGCGGCTAAGACTACAGTCACGGCGGCTGCTGGAAGAAATATGGACGTTTCGGAATCTGGCTTACTGGCCGGTGTGCTTGGCTTGGGGCTGTTATGGGCTCTTTAGGAGTAGGTTAGATGGTCGGGATGGTGACACGGTATGTAATATAGGATAGGGGAGTTGGGTGTACAAAGGGTATATGATTGGATTGGAGCGGGAATTGTCAAAAGTTGTTTATACTTTTTAATTGACAGGCTCATCTACTGCCAGATCGTCCAGTTGAGCTTGAGGCATTGATCTGATGGAGTTTTTGGTCAAAATCATAGTGGTGTTTCTTTTGTGGCGGATACATAAATGGATGGATAGATTGGAGAAGATAATGATGATTATAATCTGGGGTAGACTGAAAAAGCTTCTGAGAAGATTTGTATAAAAGATACCCTTGATCAATAGATATCAAAGATAGAAAGGAACTAATTTCATTTCAAATTGCTTGTGATCTATAATTTGTGGCATACATTGACTTTTTTGGCTTTCAATTTCGACCTGCATCCTTCAAAACTCCACCCACGAATTAAAATTTCCTCCATAATTTAATATTCATCGCAATAAAATCAAGTATTTACAGCTTAATCAGAAGCGAGCTGATAATCGTTCTAAGGTTTCTTCATCTTCTTGAGACTCATACTATAGACCTCTATGAATATCTGTATGGGTACAAAACTAAATCCCCAATAAATCATTCGGAATAGAATAATCATTCCGGGAACTTAAAGGTCTATTTTGGGTATAGCATTTACGATTGAATAGTAGTTTAGGAGTGGTTTGTTAGGATTTTTAGATTTTGAATTATATGGTTAAAGGATATTTATTACTCTAGTATACTGTAAGAGTTGCTTAAATCTATGACGAGAGCGATGATTAAACGAAGAATAGCTGATGATTCCACTTTTATAGAGCTCTTGTGCTTGGGAGAGGAGATGAGAATGGCAATGGGAATGGGAGTGTAGACATAAAGAGGAATCCCCTTGTGATCCACCCCCTCCCCTCGAAGTACGTCTCTGTATCGAAAAGCTCATCTTCTAATGTAGATACGATATCTGAACTATATTGTTATCATTGAGCTTAGCAAAGAAAGTCGATATTCTACGCAATATCTCCGCTCCAACCTCCGCACCATGATTTTCTCGCATGCTCTAAAAGATCCTTAGCGAGAAAGCGGCTGGATACCCGTGTTTGATCGTTCTGGAGGGAATTGATCATTTGGAATTCTTCTTGGACTCTTACTAGTTTTTCTATACGTTGGGAGATGTTGTATTAGCAGATACTATTCCTGCCCTCTTATCTCTTGTACCGTACCATCTGAAGTGCTTTGAGGTGTGTCGATATCTGAATGATAATGGAATATTCAGATATGCAATTAGATCCTAGGTGTTTCTTGTTGGTAGAAGATGGGATGCAAAAACGTTGGAAGAGATCAGAGATGTCACAATAAATCAGTTGCTTTGGATCATTGGGTAGTCGATTTAGCTCTGCTTTTGGAACGATGAGAACCGCGAAAATTTGGGGCACGATTCGGAAGATCTCAATTTCTGTATTAAAACGGGGTGTTCACAAGCTTGTATAGCTCAAGAAATCTTGCGAAGGGAAAGTGCAATCTTTTATGAATGATCCGATGTGTTTCACAGTCTGGGTTAAAGTCAAGGATCCGAGAGGCCATGCGTGTAGTTTATGGCTTTTCCTGAAGTACAACTGAAGGTCTTGGGGGGTATTCTGAAGCGTTTCAATATCCCATCTGAAGTCGGGCATTCAATAGTAGACTGAGAAAAGCTTTTGAGAAAATTTGTGTGAAAATATGCCCTAGATCAATGGACACTGTAGATGAAAAGAAACCAATTTTATTTCAAAACATTCATGATTCATGATGTGTAATGTATATTAATTGTGTGCTTACTGGCCCTGTATTGTTTGAATGTCCTTATACCATATATCCTATCTTATAACCATATTATTTAGCCTGGTAGAAGAGGCCCTACACCATCTACACAAACTTTCCGTTAAAACCTCGATAGAGTGATTTGCCGCTAGGGTTTAAAGCATTTGTTTTGCTTTTGATTCAGCTTCAGTAAACGGAAGGATTGAAGAGCAAGAGTTTTGATTTATCTCGTCATCATTCTTTATCCCTAGCGTAAGTTAGTATCTCCGTCTATCATTGTCGGGGTCACTCGCTCACACTCAATATTTACAATTCGGCTTAATGCAATCATCGCCCGCGTCCCAGCAATGTGTAGGTCCGACGCCGAGGAGAAACAAATTCTCATTGAAGCAGCCTGCCACATCATGCCATCCTTGATCAATCTCTTTTTGCGTGATGCATGGGCGAGTCTCGGGATATCTGCATGGACGTGGTGTAGCCTTGGGCTTTACTTTTTCTTTCTTATTCCTTTGCCAGGGCCAGGGTTTCTGAACCACATCGACTATTTTGTAGGACTTTTCTTTGGCCTCTCGGTATCTGCTAGCATCATCGCGTTTGGTCTTCGTGGGGGAGGAAGAGGAGGAGAGTATGACGAATGGTGGGGGGATCTCGGGAGTGGTCATGTTGAACGGGACCAGATCTCCGTCTATAGTAGAGGCTTCTGGGATCACCGCTGCGGTGTTCACGTTGAAGAAAGTGATGAGAGCGAAGACACATGCTTTGGAAACCTTCATTTTGACAATGTATTCATGAAGATGTTGTGTGCATCGAGTTGTGTAGACTTCTTGCGTTCGACTTGTGTGTTGAGGATATTTTTCATGGAGTGTGAAGTGAAGAAGAAAATTCTTTATATAGTGAAGAAGATGAGAGTAAAGGCGCTAATTGAGGAAGGATGGACTAGATTTTGCACTTCGTAATAAACTTTTTCTCTCTGGTCTTTTATCTCACGCACTCATTCTCGATAAGTGCGTCAAAAAGGGACAAAAAACATACATCTGTCATATCTGTCAAAAAGTTTTGATAAATAGTGTCACGCGAGGCCAACTTTAAGAAGCAGATCATTGCACCAGACTCGCCTAAATTAATTAGGGGCACATCAATGACAGACCGTTGAACCTTAACGCGAAGCTAATAAGAGTGACTCAAACTTCAGGCTTGGGAAGGTTAGCGAACAAGGTGTCACCATGTCATATTTCAACTTCATACGCTATAATCGTCATTGATCTTTGATCTACAATCAGATTTGGGATAGAGGTATTCTCATCTTCATCTCTCTAGTACTAGCTTGACATTATTACTTAGGATACGTTTCGATTTTCTCTCAAATCCACATGAAGACCTTGTAATTCTCACTTAACAATCGGAGTTTGTTTCCTTTTCGTCGTAGTATTATCTCTATTCCCTCAAGATCCTAAATTTAAGATTACAGCAACTGAACTTTGAGCTATTGACTAAAAATAACTCGATACTGCCAATGAATGGCGTTGTGTGAGAGGAGACAGAAGATTGAATTTGATTGGAAATGGACTAGACTACCATTGAGCTAGACCATACCCCTAGGGGCGTGAAAACCGATCTTATAATACATTATATGCCTATTCAGGCTAGCTCCTTCCTCCAAGACTGACAAGTCCTTTACTTGCTCAGCGCAAACCCCAAAAAGGAAAATCATAAAAATGAACTAGCCAAGAAGGAACCTGGGTAAAGGAACTCCGATCTGGTGATTGGACATACTATCATTCTTTATTGCACAAATATGTGTCAAGTTCATAATACTCACGAATAAGGAACTTGAATACTTAGGATACATTTGAATACTAGGAAGAAGTAATATTGAGTAATGTCGTTTTCAAAGACGACTTGTTTACGGTTTAGAATGGATTGTTGAAAGCTGTGACGAATTCGCAGCATGGACTTGCGAACAGAGGAAACTAACAATCAAGTGAGGTTGTATTCGTATGGAGGGGGTGCATCAAATTAAAACACACAGGTCCGAATATAGGGTTATTTGAGAAATGAACCAAATTTTATAGAAAGATCGACTAGACACAAGACACACTGTAAAATGATATATCGGGCACCTTAATGGCTCATAGTTTTTATGTAGAGAAGCGTAGTCTAGAGAAAATAGGTCGCTGCGTACGATTGCATAGATAGATATTTACTGGATTGGTTCCAGAGAGAAAGAGATATTGATGGGGGGCGTAGGAAGATCCAGGAATGACCAAGATGAAAGGATCACAAAGCAAAGAAAAGGTAGTGGACAAAGAAAAAGAAGAACAAAGGCAAATGAAAGAAATGCATAGACGGGGAGTCAGATCGGGAAAATGTGGGATTTTAGGAGACAGATTCATGTGCAAGTACATGAGTGATACCTGCCCTTTAGGGGCTCATATTCTCAGAGGGGAATTGGAATAGCTTCTCATAGATCCGTGATTTGTATGAATTGAATGATGTTATCACATTTTTAAAGAACAAGATACCTCAACACTTAACTGATGCGCTGGATTAAATGATTTTACCTACTTGCGCGTTTCGCAATCAACATCAAGGTGGTGTAAAGTCAGAATATTATGCATATTGACCTAGTCTACAAAAAGCAATCCAGGTGCGGGCTGTACACATTTACTTTGAAGTCTGAGTGTCCAGATCCCCAGCTTCCTTTCCAGTATATTTTGTTACTCTGCTATACACTAAATCATTTTAAAGTATCTCTTATCTTAAAAGCACATCTTGTCTTCAAGGCGCTGTACCCTTTTCATACACAACTATGCCTTAGATTATACATCGCTGACGCTACAGACGTCAAGAGGAGCTTATATTTCTAAAAGGAATTAGATATTTGGATCTAATACTATGTGAAGAAAATGCTAAACATACCTTGCTACACCCCTTGTGCTATATTATCCCCCGCAGTTGTAATCCACCGATGCGCCTTATGCGTAAAATATGCTGGGGACGGATTCGGGCCATAATCCAAATAGATATGCAAGAGGTAATCGAGACTGTCTGTCCGTAATCTCGACTCGAAGATACATGGCACTGAATAACTATGACATATTGGATAAACGAAATAAGCGGCAGATTTATCGGACATGATGTGAAAATTTGGAACCCTCCGTCCATCTCGCCGGTCTTCAAATTGCGGGTATCTATGCGTTTGGAGACTACCATGATTGTTCTCTGGTGGAGCCTGATTAGGTCGGTCTCCATCCCGTATTGATATATAATGCTCCCTTACCGCCTGTGGCTTGGCAGAGAGGCCTCTTCCTGCGTGTGTAAATATTGGTATCACAACACAATGCTCGCGATATTTTTGAAGGATGATATATTTACGTTCTTTCGAGAATACAGGTCCAAAGACTGTGTCAGTTCGATATCTATCATTTTGTTGCGGGATTGATCTGGCAAAGTCGGGGTAGTGTTCTACTGCACATATTACGTCCCCGTGATGGTAAGCATGTGCCGTGTGTACCGATCCGTACCGTTCTATTCTTTTATATGGCGCTGTTTGCATTATTGCTTCGTTATACAATGGGGGTGGTTTACAATCGGGCTGTTTGTCTCCCGCAGCTTCATAAAGCTTCTTATCAAGCTTCTGCTTCTCTATCTCGTCTACTGTGATGGTGCTAGGAACTGGATCGTACCAAAATGGATTGTCTAACATTGCTTTCCCATGTTCCCAAGGCTCGTGAGGAAATCGAGGGAGATCATGACCTTCATATGGAAGTTCCATTCTAGGATCAGGCAAAGGAACAAGCTGCCCAGAGGCCGGCAAAGGTGCTGTTGCGGTTACTCCAGGTTGGCCCGAGGGCGGTATTGATGAAACAGAACTTGCACCCAATGGTACCCCTGGCTGGAATACGGGCGCTGTTCCTTTTAACAGAGCCGGTTGACCTCGGCCCTGCGATATCGGCATGATCACGGACGGGGTCGGGGCTCCAGCTGCAGCTGCAGACCTTTGTGCTAATGGCACATTACCCGAAACTGTTCCAGCATGGCCACCGCCCCGAGCTGGCGCATCACCTCTACCCTTTCGAAGAGCCAGTGAACCTCTCGCTGCCCCGCTAGTGGTACGAGCTAGCCCACCACCTCTTCCAGAGACACTACGATTCAATCCTAACTCATTGCCCCTCGCAGAGCCACCGCGACCCCAAGCTGCTGGTGAACCTCCCCGCCCACCACCGTCTCCCTGTGTGCCTCCTTGGTGAGCCATTCTTGAATATTTTAATTTTCTTTGCAAAAAAGTATTGTTAGGAATACACTTGACACAATTGCTAGTCCGTGATAGAATATGATCTTGATAGAGCATGGCAGTGAACAGATAATCGGCTAAAATTCTTTGTTACTACAGTTCCGTTTTCGGTTTTCGGTACGGCGTAGATTGTCTTTAGTGAATAAAGACAAATTGTATTCGCCTAAGAGACCGCCGTATGATCCAGGATTTTGACATAGCAAGTCAAAGGTTATTTATACTTCAAGAATGTAGATTCAACGAGCTTCTTGAAACAATAATAAACACATTACAACATTATCAATAAGTTTCCAATTTGTGAGACCAGCCTCGACTTAGAAAGAATAAGGTTGCACTCATTCAAAAGCGTTCGACCTGCTTTCATCACAACCCAAAAAAATGGTTCGGAATACACAGTCAAATCAAACGGTTTCGTGGTGGGGATCGTGGTTTCAGAGCTCCAAAGCACCACCAACTGCACCACGGGTCTCAACTAGTGATGACGTGGAGTTCCTGCGCAGACAAATTAGAAGTCTCGAACGGAGTATCCGTGAAAGTATTCATTACACTACTCAGCGCGAAGATCCGGATATTTCAACAGCAAGGCAGACAATAGAACAGTTAAAACAGGAAAGGAATGACGAAAGAGAGCGAACGGAGCGACTTAAGGTCGACCTCGGAGTCGAAAGAGAAGCACATAAGGATACCAGGCAAATGGTTACTGAGCTAAGAGCTGAAGCCGCCGCTGAGAAGCAAAACATGGCTGAATTGAGAAATGAAAATAGGAACCTTCAACGAGAGATTGACGATCTCAGAAGTGAAAAGAGAAGAAGTGCAAAGCACGGTGACGATGACGACGAACGCAGCAGTCCCAGTAAGTAAAATAGCTTTCCTCCCCTTCTAGCAGATCATGGGCTAATAAATGGGGAATAGGGGTGAAATCTTCAACAGACTTGATTCATGTGAATCTTGAAGGTCGAGAATTACCAGCAACTGTACTCACCGAAGATTTGACAGAACGTTGGAACGATGTACTACAAAACCATTGGGAATATTCGACATGGATGAGGAAGCTTGAACAGTTAAAGGAGGCGGATGAAGATCTACGGACGGACCTATGGAAGAAGGCTTTGGGGCCAGAAAAGGCCGCGACTCTTCTCGAAGAAAACCAGACTATAGTAGATGCCATCATACTTCGGCGCGATGCACTTCTTGTGTCAATGCAACCCAACACAGAATACATATTCGGAGATATGCGGAAAACTTTGAGGAAACATGACCTGTATCAAGAAGGAGACCTGTTCTGGAGAAGAGTAACGGGCTCATTCGGTGAGACAGATACATGGCTAGATCCACCGATACTGGGCCAAGAAGAAGCATTGACTGTATTGAAAGACTGGAATAAAACATGGAGACAAGTGAATGAGGGGTACACTGAGAGTGAATGGGAAGAATGGGAAAGGGAACAGGAAGGTGGACAGAAAGGTGGAGATGAAGAGG